GGCCTCAGCATGGCTGGAGAAGCGGTGTGTCGGTGCACGCCCGGGATCCGAACCCGGGCCACCAGTAGCAGAGCGCGCGCACTTAACGGCTAAGCCACGGGGCCGGCCCCAATGAGTACCGTTTCAAAAATAAGATACAGATATTGTTACCCAGTAAAGGGTTAAATGCTTTAAAGTTTAAAGTACATAGTTTCTTGGTATGGTGTAGAAGAAAAAGCACTGAACTGGAGTCAGAAAACCTTGATCTGCCTCCTACTGAATGAAAGGCCTTAGAAAAAGTAACTTAACATCTGTAGAACTGTTTCTTTATGGGTAAAGTGTAAATAGTACATCCTTTTACCATATTCATCCAAAGTTAGGATCAAATGAAATCGAGCTATTAATTGCTAATTTTAGTAATTCTTCCCTTGTTTGAGTATGACTAGGATGCTTAAATCTATATGAAGGAGAGAATTCTGTATAATCTGAGCTTTATAGCTGTCAAAATGAAGGTTGATAATCTCAACTCTGATGTTCATTAACATGTGAATGGATAAATTGTGGTATATCTTTACAAAGGAATACTATTCAGCAATAATAAGGATACATAAGTTGGAGATTTGTGTGTGTGTATGAGGAAGATCAGTCCTGAGCTAACATCTTCTGCCAATCCTCCTCTTTTTTTGCTGAGGAAGATTGGCCCCTGGGCTAACATCCATGCCCATCTTCCTCTACTTTATATGGGATGCCGCCACAGCATGGCTCGACAAGCGATGCATCGGTCCACGCCCGGGATCTGAATCTGCGAACCCCGGGCTGCCGAAGCGGAGTGTGTGAACCTAACCACTACGCCACCGGGCCGGCCCCTAAGTTGAGGATTTTAAGTGCCTATTCCCAGTATCTTCAAGTTGTATATGTGTTATTTAGATGTGTTTCCTTCTGGGACTCTTCTTGTCGGAACAGATGACAATGGTGAGACTTGAGATTTCTACTTCTTTCATTAAATAACACTTGCCTAGAATGACGTAGCAATTAGTAGAAAAGTTAGGGTCTAAATGTCAACATTTCTTCTTTTCCTTGATAATTTTT